TAGAGGGGTGTGATTTTTTTCACTCTGTACGAATATATCATGTTATACACGCTATCATCGAGTTCATGTGGTCTATTTAACCATCACCCATTCCTGCAACAGTTTGTTAAAGTAATCTGTGGCTGGGTAATTTTGTGTAAAAGTAATGGTGTTCAATAAAGACTGGGGTAAGAAATGAATTCGAAATCACAAGACCCCTACCATGTAGCCGCACGCTTTTCCCAAGCCAATGAAAGTCACGTGACATGGCACAAGTTAACCTCAGTTCAGTCGAACAGCTATTTTCTATCAATTTTGAATTTGTTCTAATTCTTTTACAATGTCATTTTTAAACGTGTCGGTAAGATAAATTTGTTGTAGCAGGATCACTCGGGGTGCATGGGGTTTTATGCGTCAAGCTTAGGATTTACGTCTGCTACTCGCCTCCGGGATAAAACCTAACGCGAGACGTATAAAACCCATGTACCCCGAGTGACCCAATCTCATTAAAATCAGATCTTAGTTTGTTTAGCGGCAGCGAGAACTTAGATCTGATTTTAATGAGATTGCGCGTGACCCTGCTATTATACCACTGTATTCCCAAGAATGGATGGCGCCACACGTGACCTGGATGACGTCATAGCTACCCAACGACGGGGATTATACTGACATAGATGATGTTCAGGGCGCCGTCAAACTGAATTATGGCTGTTATATTAGTGGCTCAATCTTTTAAATTCGATCTTCTACTACGACACGATACCTCTCTGCGTCAAAATCTGAGTACGACCCGGTAGAAGTATTCTTGAAATTCTAGAAAGGAAACTATGTTCTCTGTATTGAACACCACTTTCACCTGGAGTGAGTGAGTGAGTGAGTGAGTTTGGTTTAACGCCGCTTTTAACAGTATTCCAGTTATATCACGGCGTGTCGGCTTAATGTGGGAGGAAAGCCCGAAGTGATGCAGGTCTCAGACGTTTACCCACGAGCACGGGTATGGTGCTGACAAACCTTGAAACATAATTGGCGCGACCCAAGGGACGCAACTCAGCACAGCGAATCGCGGCGCCTCAGACGACTTGGCCACCCGTGCCTCCACTTTCACCTGGATGTTGGATAGCAATGATACACGTGTATTGCGTGTACCCCTCCCACCAGGGTTGGCGGGGGTCTTAAAGTCTAATTTTAATTATCGTTAAATAAAATCCACGCATTCAATACGACCACACTTGTGATAGATTCATGATTATATTAATACTATTTGAAACCTATCAATTATCACTTCATATTTAAATGTCCGTTTTGAAAAAGAAAAATGATATATTCTGAGCAAAAATGTTTCATAAACTATTTTATATACCGTACACCATAAATGAAACTCAGCGTTCACTACAAAATATATAGTCTCGATCCCTAACTTCTTGTGTTCAGTATATAGGACATCTCATGTATCGCAATGTCCGTACTCGTGAATATGACTTATGGTTTCGTGGCCTGCTCTCGGCATCAAGTGCCTGGTCGTATTTCTTAACTGAGGTAATTTATAAGTCTTTGTGTGTAATAATAGACCCACTGTTTCAATGCACAAGGAGGCAGCTGGTCTTGTTAAAAGACAGGCTACCTTGATTTAACCCAAACCCAATATTCCAGCTATATGACGGCGGTCTGTAAATAATCGAGTCTGGACCAGACAACCCAGTGGTTATTATCATGAGCATCGATCCACGCAATTGGGATCGATGACATGCTGCAACCAGGTCAGCGAGCCTGACCACCCGATCCCGTTAGTTGCCTCTTACGACAAGCATGGGTTGCTGAAGACCAATTCTATCCCGATTCTTCACGGGTGAATTGCTAAAGGAAAAAACAACAAAATACGGTTTATGCATATGATTCTAATTAAGTGCATCCTCGTTGTGTCGTTGTGAGTTAATTTGGATACTTGGGACTACCTAATGAGTTCGAGCCAACCGGGAGTTCGACATATCCAAGTTCGACACATCCAAGTCCGACTGTATTTTTTTTCATTTTATGCTAACATTTGATATAAGGGTTTGCATCCACCAATATTCCGGCTGAAATAATCGAGAGTCTGGACCAGTCAATCCAGTGATTGATATTATGAACAACGGCCTACGACGTGGGTGTACGTTTACTCGCAGTCAACCAAACACCACCCATTAAGTCACCTCGTACGACAATCAGAGGCTTGTGGGACCTACATTAACCCGAAATCTCCTCATCAGGTTGTTTTGAAAGACTGTTAACTCGACATTTTGGGACCACAAACCATATTCGTTTTATCCGTTGTTCGAGATAAGCACGATGCAGGAACTGACTCTGTCCAAATGATAAAATTACGGCGTCTTAAACGATGCGTCGAGTTCGAGTTATCTGGTTTACATTATAAGTGTGATTTATATACGTCAAACAAGTATGGGAACACTATTGAGTATATATTTCTGTAAAAGTAAAAGTTACTGTACAGTAATACAGTGACATTCACGTTCAGTTAAAACCCTGTAGGAACCCACATTACAGGAAACGTGGTAGACTAAAATCTAGTCTCTGAAATGAACATATCGTACATAAAAAAACAGTTGTTTAGTTATCTTAATAAAAATATAATAAAAAGGAGCCCAGTGACTCTCTTCATTTTCAGATACTGCAGTGATCTAGACTTGCCAAACATTATAGACTTGCATGGGCTGTATTTGATATATATTTGTATCAGGGTCTGTAAGACAGACTAGAAACGTGGAAATTTTGTTAAATGCAAACTTGTCCATTGTCACACGATGGTGTCTTCCACCCAAACACAACCACCCACGTGCGCTACATGAATCCTATGCAGCCACTGCACATATGGGTGAGTGAGTGAGTTGGGTTTAACGCCGCTTTTAACAGTATTCCAGTTATACCACGGCGTGTCAGCTTAATGTGGGAGGAAAGTCTGAAGTGATGCAGGTCTCAGACGTTTACCACTTCGGTGAAACCCACGAGCACGGGCATGGTGCTGACAAACCTAGAAACATAATCGGGGCGAACCGGGATTCGAACCAACAATCATACATTTCTGGTGTGCCCAAGGGACGCAACTCTGCAATCGCGGCGCCTTAGACGACTTGGCCACCCGTGCCCCCGGAATAACACGAGTTGGTCACGAAATACATATATCTTTGTTTAGCGATTGCGAGAACTAAGATCTGATTTTAATGAGATTGTGGTCCAGCTACGTCACCGTAGTAAATACGGTTTCGGATAAGTTCGGCTTCATCAAGGGGCTGGCAATGCTGACATGTTTATTGACCTATTTGTATAACGCTGTAAACATATTGATGTGTAGATATGGAAGGACAAGATCACAGTTTCTACAAAGTTAGACTTTTATAGACATGTTAAAATAAAAACAGATTATATTTTTTGTATTCACAATCTGATTTATTTACGCTTTATCCAAATTTAGATGCTCTAGTCAAACTGTAATGATATGAATGGGTCGAAGGTATAATATGAACAGAAATTTAAGATTTTGTCTATTTTGTATAGTAGGAATGGAAGAACCAGAATACCATTTTTGCCTATGCAGATTTCAGACACAGCATTTTACCATAGTATTATTTTGTCCAACCAAACCAGCAAAAACTTAAAATGCTATTCTCCAGCTCAAATTCTTCCTTACTTAACAGTTTTGGTAAATACATCGCCTTAGCACTTAAGAAACGTAATCGATATGTTAAAGATAACGTTAAGTATCCTAAGTAGTATGGAATAACGGAATATATCGTAAGAGGCGACTAACGGGATCGGGTGGTCAGGCTCGCCGACTTGGTTGATACATGGTTAAACAACAAACAAACAAAAACACGGAATAAATAAGCACAAGCTACATGTTTGTTTGTTGTTTCACGCCGCACTCAGCAAATTTTCCAGCTATATGACGGCGGTCTGTAAATAATCAAGTCTGGACCAGACAATCCAGTGCTTGACATCATGAGCATCGATCCATGCAATTGGAATCGATGACATGCATCAACCAAGTCAGCGAGCCTGACCACTCGATCCCGTTAGTCGCCTCTTACGACAAGCACAGTCGCTTTTTACGGCAAACATGGGTTGCTGAAGGCCTATTCTACCCTAGATCTTCACGGGTCCATGAGCTAATGTAACGTGGTCAGCCGTACGGGTTAATGGCACAGTAACTGGACGTGATGCTGACAACCTCACATCCCAGATGCTTGGTACCAGAAGAGAAGACCATCGTAAGGATGGAGACTGGGGATGCTGCACGTGCATTTCCACTTTCAACAATAATGCCATTTCCCGCGTAATTTAGTGAACACAGCAGGATTTTCAGTTTCACACGTTTCTGTCGTATTTCTACGATCGTCTTCCCGAGACAAGGGAGTTAACTGACTGTAAACGTACATTGTGTACGTTATTTGTACGTTAGTCCAGACAAGGATAACTCGGCAAGGGTGGAAACTGGACTTTTAATACTCAGTTAACACCCTTGCCTCGGGAAGATGTTCTACGATTGGCTTTGCATGAGTTGCAAACATTGTTTCGTGTTCGAATCCAAATTCTATTTTTTTTATCTTGGTATAGATCCTTTTTGTTTTCAGTGTATTTCGTACCCAAATATAAAATATCCGTTCGACGGGAAGTTGAAGGGCGGATCCAGCATTTGCTACAGGGAGTGGTCCAAAATATAAAGTAAAAATCTGTCTTTAATTTTATTGCCTACAACATATTACATTTGCTTTTCCAAAGAAGGGGAGCCGGACCCCTGGACACCCCCCACCCCCCTCTTGATCCGCCTTTGACCTTGTATTACGTTTACAACCTGATAAACTTGAGCTCGAAGCCCAAATACTAGTACTGAAGTGAAACTCCTTGAATGATTGACTAAATTAAACAACGGTATTTCTCTGCATGGAAGAGATTTATACACGGTATATCATACCACTTCTAACAATGGTATCATGTGACATTGTAAATCGTATTGGGGTTGCCACAAGTGGTTGTCGATACAGTGTATATATGATCGACCGCCGGACACGGCCACATTGCTGGGGGATCTCACATCGCATCGACATGAAGGTGTTGGCTCTTCTGATTGTGCTGGGCGTGTACGCTGTAGCTGCGAAACAATCGTTTCATGGGTAGGTGGATTCCGTTCGCTATTCTATCAGTGAGTGAGTGTTTTTGTTTGTTTGTTTGTTTGTTGTTTAACGCCGCACTCAGCAATATTCCAGCTTGATTATTTATAATCAAGTCTGGACCAGACAATCCAGTGACTGACTTCAAGAGCATCGATCCACGCAATTTGGATACGATGACATGCATCAACCAAGTCAGCGAGCCTGATCACCCGATCCCGTTAGTCGCTTCTTATGACAAGCATAGTCGCCTTTTACTGCAAGCATGGGTTGCTGGAGACCTATTCTACCCGGGGTTTTCACGGGTCGGGTGAGTGAGTGAGTTTAACGACGTTTTTCAACAGTTTTGGACCAGACATTCTGATTGGTACATCAGAGGTTTCAAATCCCGATAATCACTTGTTCTCTATCCTATCGGGTTGAATAATTGCTTTATTTTTTATTGAATTTTTCAGACACCGCTTAGTCTCGGTCATAGCCAAGAACAAGGAACAGCTGAATGTTCTGAACGGGATCCTGAGGACGGGAGAACCATGGGCAAGTTTGTTTGTTTGTTTGTTTGTTTGTTTGTCAAGCCTAAACTTAGGGAGTTTAAACTTTAGGGGTTTAACGCTACGCCAACCTCACATACAACAGTCACGATACTACGATATATATCTATCGCGATACCTGAGTACGATACGATATGTACCTCGATACTTGAGTCACGATACTATACGGGGTCACGGGTGGCCCAGTCGTCTAAGGCGCCGCGATTCGCTGTGCAGAGTTGCGTCCCTTGGGCAAGCCAGAAACCCGTGATTGTGGGTTCGAATCCCGGTTTGCCCCGATTAAGTTTCTAGGTTTGTCAGCACCATACCCGCACTCGTGTAGTAGTCATAGTATGTAAACTTCCGATTTTGTTTTTCTCCAGGTCGATGTGTGGAGCTTTTCTGGCATCAACCGAACCTCCGAGATCCGAGTCCCCCCTTCCAGCTATGGGTTGTTCAGCCGATTGATGCGGACAGCTAAGATACCTATTACTATCATGGAGAACGACATTGAGATGTACGTAACAAATTCAAGCTAGGAATAAGAGGCCATTAAAATGTGAACAACTATTTGGCTTCTATTGTGCCTAGGGGGTGGTCGGGTAGCCTAGTTTTTAAAGCGTTCGCTCGTCACGCCGAAGACCTGGGTTCGATCCCCGACATTGGTACAATGTGTGAAGCCCATTTCTGGTGTCCCCCGCCGTGATATTGCTGGAATATTGCTAAAAGCGGCGTAAAAATCATACTCACTCACTCTTTCATTCAATCTCGGCATTATCTAGTAGCAATGTTTTAATATAAAGTTTGACTTTCATACCACTCACAAAGTTGAATTATATTACAGGAACTGGTTGGAATGATGTTTTAGTAAATAAAATTAAAAATTAAAATCCAAATTAAAATCTTTAATACTGTGACTTTTGAAGCCTACAGTTTGTTATTTTTTAAAAGAGCTATCAATTTAGTATAATTAATACTGTCCCTTCCAGCCTTCATGGACGTCATGCATTTGCTTTGTGTGCAAATAGATATTTACAAGCCTTTGAGTAAAATAAACTGACTTGTTCGAGTTTTTCGTGATTTAATGCACCCAACTTGTTTAAATAATACTTTGATCGTGAAAATAACCGTTTCAGTCTCTTTCTCGTGTTCAAATTACACACAAAAATGGTCTCGGGCCCTGTCCAGTTCAAATGCTAAAATATAAAGTTTCGTCGAAAATCCAATATGGCCGCTAATATGGCGGTCAATGGACACCATTGGACTATAATTTGCCCTCAACATTCATTGTGTAGACACTCTGACTATTATCAAAAAGTAGTTAAAAATACATATTTCGGGTGCATGGGGACCCAATCTTCCACTCGACGACAGGTCCTCGGAATGCAGAATATTTTTTCCGCCTTTGCTTCAAAACATAAAAAGGTGGATCCCCCCAAAAATGGGGAGACCCACAACAATTATTTTTTAGAACCCATCTTGCCATGTGTCTTTTTTGAAAGCCGGACGACATTTGCTTTTCGACATTTACGAGCAAACACAGTTTTGAGAATGTCAAGGGATTTTTTTGGCACCTTATGGCAGATACACGTTTCAGGCTCCTGGAGCGCGCGCGGCAGCCGAGCCTTGGCCCCCATGAGCAGGCGTCCCCCTACATCAGCTGGTCCGGGGGTTACACCACCCACACAGCCTATAAGAGATACCAGTCGGTGAGTACCGACCCCATTGCCGATATCTACTACTTCCATGATGATGGTGCTTGCCGTACATTATCGTGTTATTATTGGCGCTCTTGAGATTTGTCACGTGTTACCTTAGATCTTCCTGCTTTTGGGTATCCGTCGATGGTCTCCTTTAAATGCCGAACCTGATACTAATGTTACATGTGGGGACTCCTCAGGCAAGTGGCATGTTTCTGTTCACACATCAGTATGGAGGTACCCGGTAGGATGAGATGGCAATGCGACTGTTTAACCTTACTGTCAACACATAACGCAGCTTGGGTTGGATGGTCCCCAGGGAGCTGAGAATGAAATTCGACTGCACACTGATGCATTGACAGGGGTTGGGAGCAAATATTAGTGGGTAGATTCGGCACATTACAAAGGTCCAGAAGTAGCAGTAGTGGTAGTAGTAGTAGTAGTTGTTGTTGTTGTTGTAGTATTATCATATTACTTTTGTCATCATCATCATCATCATCATCATCATCATCATCATCATCATCATCATCATCTTCATCATATTCATGATCATTTTAGTAGTAGTCGTAGCAGTAGTTATAATAATAGTAGTAGGAATAGTAATTACATTAATATTATTATTAGTGAGTGAGTTAACATCATCGTCGTCGTTATTGTTGTTATTATTATTGTTGTTTGTATCATCATCATCATCATCTTATTATTATTATTATTATTATTATTATCATCGTCGTCGTTGTTATTATTATTATAATTATTATTCGTGTATCAGTTTGTGGACATCATGGATGGGTTGAAGAGCAGTTTCCCTAACCTCGTCCAGGAAGTGGGCAACCTGAGTCCCCAGACCTACGAGGGGCGGAACATCGCCTACATCAAGGTAATGCCACACACACATTCTCATCAAGTAGTTTACAGACTTACAGGGTAGAATAGGTCTCCAGCAACCCATGATTGCCGTAGAGGGGCGACTATGCTTGTCGTAAGAGGCGACTAACGGGAGTCGCTGGTCGCTGATGATCATGTCAACCACTGGATTGTCTGGTCCAGGCTCGATTATTTACACTCCGCCGTCCCATGGCTGGAATATTGCTGAGTGCAGCGTTACACAACTAACACACTATTACTCATATGAGGCAAACTACTCATATCTCCAAACTACTCTAGCCTAAGGTCGATTTCACAAACGTGGCATAAAAGTAAAATTTTTTAGAAAAGTCTGTAACAGTTACTTTTGTACAGCAATTTGTTTTTTTTCTTTTGTTTCTTTCATAATTTCACACGATTTGTAACAGTTTTAAGAGAACGCTTCTAATTCACACAAAACGCTTTTATGATTGTCCTCGTTGCAGCTTAAACAAATAATGGAAAAAGAGATTCATTATGATAACCAGGACCTCGTTCCGTAAAGCGATCTTAGGGCTACGGTGATCGTAACGTCCATACTTTAACATGGCTGACGATCACCGCAGGCCTCGTTCCGTAAAGCGATCTTAGGGCTACGGTGATCGTAACGTCCATACTTTAACATGGCTGACGATCACCGCAGGCCTCGTTCCGTAAAGCGATCTTAGGGCTACGGTGATCGTAACGTCCATACTTTAACATGGCTGACGATCACCGCAGGCCTCGTTCCGTAAAGCGATCTTAGGGCTACGGTGATCGTAACGTCCATACTTTAACATGGCTGACGATCACCGCAGGCCTCGTTCCGTAAAGCGATCTTAGGGCTACGGTGATCGTAACGTCCATACTTTAACATGGCTGACGATCACCGCAGGCCTCGTTCCGTAAAGCGATCTTAGGGCTACGGTGATCGTAACGTCCATACTTTAACATGGCTGACGATCACCGCAGGCCTCGTTCCGTAAAGCGATCTTAGGGCTACGGTGATCGTAACGTCCATACTTTAACATGGCTGACGATCACCGCAGGCCTCGTTCCGTAGCGATCTTAGGGCTACGGTGATCGTAACGTCCATACTTTAACATGGCTGACGATCACCGCAGGCCTCGTTCCGTAAAGCGATCTTAGGGCTACGGTGATCGTAACGTCTATACTTTAACATGGCTGACGATTACCGCAGGCCTCGTTCCGTAAAGCGATCTTAGGGCTACGGTGATCGTAACGTCCATACTTTAACATGGCTGACGATCACCGCAGGCCTCGTTCCGTAAAGCGATCTTAGGGCTACGGTGATCGTAACGTCCATACTTTAACATGGCTGACGATCACCGCAGGCCTCGTTCCGTAGCGATCTTAGGGCTACGGTGATCGTAACGTCCATACTTTAACATGGCTGACGATCACCGCAGGCCTCGTTCCGTAGCGATCTTAGGGCTACGGTGATCGTATCGTCCATACTTTAACATGGCTGACGATCACCGCAGGCCTCGTTCCGTAGCGATCTTAGGGCTACGGTGATCGTAACGTCCATACTTTAACATGGCTGACGATCACCGCAGGCCTCGTTCCGTAGCGATCTTAGGGCTACGGTGATCGTAACGTCCATACTTTAACATGGCTGACGATCACCGCAGGCCTCGTTCCGTAGCGATCTTAGGGCTACGGTGATCGTAACGTCCATACTTTAACATGGCTGACGATCACTGCAGCTCTTCCATCGCTTTGAGTTAACAGGGCCCTGGTGGCGAAAACTCCTCGCGTTGAATGTCCCCCTCCTTCGCGACCCGTGAAGATCCGGGCCGCGTAGAATAGGCCTTCAGCAACCCATGCTTGCCGTAAAAGGTGACAATGCTTGTCGTAAAAGGCGACTAACGGGATCGGGTGGTCAGGCTCGCTGACTTGGTTGATGCATGTCATCGATCCCAATTGCGTAGATCGATGCTCATGATAACAATCACTGGATTGTCTGCTCCAGACTCGATTATTTACAGACCGCTGTCATATAGCTGGAATATTGCTGAGTGCGGCGTAAAACAACCAACCAACCAACCAACCAACCCCATCCTTCGCTCTTCGTCTTGACAGAGGGTCGGCACGGTTTTTCAAAGAGATTAAGATGTTATTAACAAATTAATATTATTATTAATATTATTGATATTGTGTATCCAGCTCGAAAATAATTGGAACCATTAGCTTGTGGGTGGAGCCGACTCAGGAGCGAGTCACCAAAGATGCAGTCATAATATTGAAGTTTCCCACGCTTTGAGAGCTTTCAAGGAACATTGATGTTCTAATTGTATCATAATGGAGCTATTCCTGTATTTACTGCAAACAAATGTCATGTTTATTCATTTTTCTTACAGTTCGGAACCGGAGGATCGAAGCCGGCTATTTTCATTGAGTCACTGATTCACGCCAGGGAGTGGATTTCAGGGGGGTCCATCATGTACTTCATGGATCGGGTGAGTAGCAGGGCGAGTGGTTAGTAGCCAAGCATAGTCAGGGTGAGTAGCTGGGCGAGTAGCTAGTAGCCACACGTAGGCAGGGTGAGTAACTAGGCGAGTAGCTAGTAGCCACACATAGTCAGGGTGAGTAGTTGGGCGAGTAGCTAGTAGCCACATAAAAACAGGGTGAGTAGCTGGGCGAGTAGCTAGTAGCCAAACATAGGCAAGGTGAGTAGCTGGGCGAGTAGCTAGTAGCCTAACGTAGGCAGGATGAGTAACTGGGCGAGTAGTCAATCATAGGCAGGATGAGTAGCTGGGCGAGTAGTAAGTAGTCACACATAGACAGGATGAGTAGCTGGCCGAGTACCTAGTTGCCACACATAGGCAGGGTAAGTAGCTGGGCGAGTGGCTAGTAGCCAAACATAGGCAGGTTGAGTAGCTGGACGAGTAGCTAGCAGCCACACATGGACAGGGTGAGTAGCTAGTAGCCACACATAGACAGGGTGAGTAGCTAGTGGCCACACATGGACAGGGTGAGTAGCTAGTAGCCACACATCGACAGGGTGAGTAGCTAGTGGCCACACATGGGCAGGGCGAGTAGCTAGCAGCCACACATGGACAGAGCGAGTAGCTAGTAGCCACACATGGATAGAGCGAGTAGCTAGTAACAACATATACGCAGGGCGAGTTGCCACGCATGAACAGGCTGATTAGTTGGGAGCCACACATTGACAGAAGCCGAGAAGTTCGAAAGATAGTTTTCGGAGCGTATTTTGATTAGAACCCCTTATAAGCGGTTCCTTGTGTGACTAAGGACGCCAACTGTGTTCAGGGAACCACAGCGTCTTTGACCTCTTTAATATTAGCCTTACTTTATGTGTCCATTACTTGCAATAGTTATATCTTACATTGCAGCTGGTGAGCAGGTACTCCCTGGATGCTGACGCCAGATACATGCTGGACAACTACGACATCTACGTCGTCCCCGTCTCCAACCCCGACGGCTACGAGTACACCCACACTAATGTAAGTACCCCCGCACCACTGTGAGAACATCCCAACCCTGTTAGCACACTCACATGTCCACATTCACGTCACTGTGAATACGACCCGGGGTAGAATAGGTCTTCAGCAACCCATGCTTGTCTCCCACCGTGAAGATCCGGCGTAGAATAGGTCTTCAGCAACTCATGCTTGTCTCCCACCGTGAAGATCCGGCGTAGAATAGGTCTTCAGCAACCCATGCTTGCTGTAAAAGGCGATTATGCTTGTCGTAAGAGGCGACTAACGGGATCGGGTGGTCAGGCTCGCTGACTTAGTATGTCATCGTATCCCAACTGCGTGGATCGATGCTCATGATGTCAATCACTGGATTGTGTGGCCCAGACTCGATTATTTACAGACCGCCGTCATATAGCTGGAATACTGCTGAGTGTGGCTAAACAACAAACAATCAAACAAACAAACAAACAAAAACTGTAAATACCCCCTTGCCCCGGCAGAGCCAAGCCTGGGGTACTAGGGACCTACTCAATATATCCTCGGGGAGTACTGACCTATTCTGACCCACACCATTAAGGATCATGGTTGAGTTATTGCGTTCACAGAACCGATTGTGGAGAAAGAACCGGTCCCAACAGCAAGGGAACTGCCGAGGGGTGGACCTCAACAGGAACTTCGAAGCATACTGGAACAGTGAGTCTTAAGCTGAGCTACTTTCATACCTCCTGTGGCCTCGTTTCCTATATTCGTATAATGCGTTTCGTAGTATCGTGTGAAGTATAAACCCAGAACACTAAACACACATGCATCTTCCCAAAGCGTACCTTGCAAAGTAAAGGTGACCCTTTTGGCTTGCCATACTTGCGCTATCAGGTAAAACAAGAATCCTTTTGCAAATAAGTTTGGAGGTGAGGTGAAATGGGGTTTAACGTCGCGTTCAAGATTATTACACTTATATAGCGACGTTGTGTGTGTGTGTGTGTGTGTGTGTGTGTGTGTGTGTGTGTGTGTGTGTGTGTGTGTGTATGTGTGTGTGTGTTTGTGTGTGGCTGCTTGTACTAGTCCGGACTGATGCCGATTGATAGGGCTAGCTCACTGAGATACCATGCCGCAGTTTAACATGAATACCCCACTCAGACACAGTATACTGACTCCGAGCCGACGTCTTTTGGTATGACGCGGCCGGGGATCGAACCGCGAACCTTCCGCTCACCAGGTAGAAGCTCTACCTCTGGACTACGGAAACCAGGAAGCGATTTAGATACAACTTTTTTGTCATCCGTACAGGTGAAAATCTTGACTGTCATTTCCAGGTGATAAACTTTTAAAATACATATACTCACAGACACAATTAAAGCAACACTGTGGGGGCAGGATTGACAAAATGTGGTTGAGCTAAATTGTGTGGCTTGGGTCGTTGTTCATGTTACTAACACCTACTCTATCATTCTGGGACTCAATCATGTCAAGATTCCTGTGATAATTGTGAAATAGAGCTGACATCCACTCACCAAAATGACGTCGTCATGTCGTTACCTTCGCAGCCGTTGGCGTCAGCAACCAGTGCAGTAGCGACATCTACTGCGGGAACTCGGTGTTTTCCGAGGCGGAGGCCCAGGCTATCAGAAACAAGGTGGCGGAGATCAACTCCGGAGGTCAAACGCTCCTCGCATACCTCGCCGTCCACTCGTACTCACAGCTGCTACTTACGCCCTACTCGTACGCCAACGTGCGCCCAGAAAACGCCGTCGAAGTGGTGAGATACATATATATACACCACTTACATTGTTATGTGGCAGTAGATATCATTGTTAGTTTCTTTGTAGTGAATGTCAGTGGCAGCAAATAATTGAAGCGTTAGTAAAATGTCGAGAGCTGCCATGGAAAGATTTTAGTGGTACTCGGCGGCAGCGAGAAATTTAAGAGTTATCCTTCTTTGTATAAACTTGAACACGACAGACCTGATCGTTCGAGAAGTTTCCGGATGGGACAGTTTCTTCTGGAAGCCGGGCTATGCCTATATATAAGAGCGACTTGAGGGCGATTCCTGGCCTTTTTACGACCTGACTTGCGTGTTATATACTTGCGGAAGGATCTGAAAGAGTCGAATTACTGTCAGCTTCCTACGCATTGACGGATTCATGAACAGTTGCAGACCAGAAGACATTTGACAGTGAAACATTTATCATGATTTTTTAAATGGTCACAATTATATTGCGATAACTGATTTAATGGATTATTTTTTCATTATTTACCTAAGTCATTCGGCACATTCTGATTGGTTTGTCGTGTTTTCGCACATAACATTTATGGATAGGGCATAGTTCAATCAAAATCGCGCAACGAAATCGAAATCCGGTTCGTAAACTGTCATGCAGGTTTCGGGGCGGTCGGGTAGCCTAGTGGTTAAAGCGTTCGCTCGTCACGCCGAAGACCTGGGTTCGATTCCCGACATGGGTACAATGTGTGAAGCCCATTTCTGGTGTCCCCCGCCGTGATATTGCTGGAATATTGCTAAAAGCGGCGTAAAACCAAACTCACTCACTCACTCATGCAGGTTTCGGTCGATTGCAGGATTTGCAAAGCATATGCATCGCCAACTCGTCGTCAACAGATATTTTCAAAATCTTTTCATGTTTTTAATCAAGGTGCTCACGTGATTTGATGCATTTCGCGATATAAAACCCGTTTTATCACAATCTAGATATTGATTATCGAGCAGATCGTCCTGACTTGGCGCCGCCATTTTGTTTGAAACAAATGCAAGTGATACGAGTGATGGAATCTGATTGGTCCATAGGAGAAGCTTAGAAGGGACATACCTGGTAATAGCCACCGGTGGCGCTACGATAGAGCCCAGTAATTCTAGCCTAGTTCGGCAAGGGTGGAGACTGGACTTTTAAAGTCAGTTAACTCTCTTGCCTCGGGAAGATGGAAACTGGACTTTCAAAGTCAGTTAACTCTCTTGCCTCGGGAAGATGGAAACTGGACTTTTAAGGTCAGTTCACTCTCTTGCCTCGGGAAGATGGAAACTGGACTTTCAAAGTCAGTTAACTCTCTTGCCTCGGGAAGATGGAAACTGGACTTTTAAGGTCAGTTCACTCTCTTGCCTCGGGAAGATGAGTAAAATCATACTTACTCACTTAAATATAGCAAGTGGAGCCGGGCAGCATATAATGGAGATACAATACTGTGGATAAACGAGGATTGTGATTTTCTGTGAAAGTGTATTATATGACCGACCACCTTGTTTCCAGGATAACGTTGCGAGGCTGATGAACGACGCCCTCAAGGCGCCCTTCGGGAGCAACTACCAGTGGGGTCACGGGCCTGACGTGCTGTGTGAGTATTGTGGTCTCGTTATAACGCCATGACCTCTTCAAATAAGGTCAAGTTTTGTTATTACGCTATCCGTGAAATTGTGTTTTATTGCAATACAGTTGTATATTGTTATTTCGTTAAAACATATCTGTTTGTGCGTGCGGGTGTCTGAGTTTGTGTGCGTGTGTGTGTGTCTGTGTTTGTGCGTTCGTGTCTGTGTGTGTTAGTTTGTGCGTGCGTGCGTGCGTGTGTCCGTGTTTGTGTGTGCGTGCGTGCGTGCGTGCGCGCGCGCGTGCGCGCGCGTGTGTGTGTGTGTGTGTGTGTGTGTGTGTGTGTGTGTGTGTGTGTGTGTGTGTGTGTGTGTGTGTGTGTGTGTGCTGAGCAGCTTATACTAGACCGGACTTTATAATGTTACCCCACTGATACACCATGCCACAGGCTACATGAATACCCCACTCAGACACAGTATTCTGACTCCGAGCCGACCAGTTCTTGTTTTAGACCCTTAACGTCGAGAGCCAGGCAGTGTAACAACAACTAACCATTTCTTAACGCGGCCGGGGATCGAACCACCGACGTCCGCTCTCCAAGCAGACGCTCAATCCTCAAATCACAATAACCGCCTCTGATTGAAAGTGAGTGGGTGTGGTTTTATGCCGCTTTTAATACCCATGTGAGGACACAGACGGCGTGACGAGCCGATGTTACACCACCTCCCCTTCTGATTGAAACAGCTGATTCAAACGGCCACACCCTACTGCGATTTGTATTGGGTGATTATTGCAACGATCACCGCTCTCCCATTTCAATGTCATTGCGGCTTGTCACGGAATAACACGAGTTATCACGAATGGGATAGGTGCTCAGGAAAATTAGGCACTCAAATATATCTTTTTTCCCAGAGGAAAAAATCAAAACTGACAGGGTGCTAATGGAGGATTTTTTATGTTATTTTTGTCTCTTAAGTAGGTTATAAATCATGAAACTAAATTTGATATTTATATACCATATAGCCTGCCTTTTGAAGTTTGAACATACGGGGCTAGGTTGCCATGGGAATCTGACACACTTAGGAATGTAATTCCGTTTACAAAATCAAATCAAAAATCAAAAACAATATTAGGAGGGTATTTTGAGGCATGGGCGAACAGTGAGAAACCAGAAATTTATTTTTAAAAGTCACAAGAAGAGAAGTATTTTCCAAAATAGATTTTTTAAACCCCCCACAAAGACCCTGAAAAAAGTATATCCGAATCGCCCCAGCAAGTCTGCAATAGTCAACAAGAATGGATGTCTCCAGTTTCAGAAGAGCTTTCCTGGGCCCACTTGCACAAAGCGATCTTAGCGCTAAGATGATCGTAACTCCCATACTTTAACACAGGCTAACTTTCCATTATCTCTTCAACACAAAAAAATACAATATTTCATTTCAGAGACTAAATGTAAGCCATTTTTTTAATGATCTGATTCTTTACTCCCCCACGTTGCAGACCCTGTGTCCGGCGCCAGCGACGACTGGGCCATGCTGGGGGGTGGGGCGAGGTATGTCTACACCTACGAACTGAGGCCCCGGTCCAGCAACCCCGGCTTCAGCCTCGGCCCCGAACACATCATCCCCAACGGCTACGAGTTCTGGCTCTCCATGGTCGCAATGGCTTGCAACATGAACGCAGGTGCGCCAAGCTGCTAAACTGCACAGATGCTGAATTGTTACCGTCATTGTTACCCGCAACTGGAAGTTTTAACCAAATAGTGTATGTAAGTGAATCCCTTTTTTTTCTTCTTTTTTTTCTTAGAAAAAAAGAAGAAATAAAGAAGAAATTTAAAAAAAAATTGAATCCCTTAATGACGTCACGTCAATATGACGTCATAATGTAAATGACATCATATGCTTATCGAAGTTCAGCTTCATGATTACAGAGGGAGAGGAATATCCGACGGTTTTGTAGAACGTTTGTGATACGAATCCTGAAGAACTGTTTCTGTGAGTGTAAATTTGAGCAACATTTCTGATTCAGTGAGGTGTAACGGATGTCTTCCTTGCTGAAATAAAAGTGTTCTTAATCGCTTACCTTAGTGTTTTGTTTATTGTATAACGCCGCAATGTTCCAGCTGTATGTAAATAATCGCGTCTGTACCAGACTACCAAGTAATTGACATCATAAACATAGATCCAGGCAATTGGGATACGATGTCATGCATCGAACAAGTCAGTGAGCCTGACCACCCGATCCTGCTAGTCGCCTCTTACGACAAGCATGGGTTGCTGAAGATTAATTTTAACCCGGATCTTCACGGGTCGCACAAGGGAAGTTAGAATGGCGAGAATCATCATCATCATCATCATCATCATAGAGTCTGGTCTCACCCAGCAATATTCCAGTAAGCGTCTCACCACGCAAAACAATGGTTGATATACCGAACAAGCCGTCGAGACACGATGACCCGCTATGAACCAAGAGACCAACCTCACCAGCCTCATCATCCGATCCGGGGCGGTCGGGTAGCCTAGTGGTTAAAGCGTTCGCTCGTCACGCCGAAGACCCGGGTTCGATTCCCGACATGGGTACAATGTGTGAAGCCCATTTCTGGTGTCCCCCGCCGCGATATTGCTGGAATATTGCTAAAAGCGGCGTAAAACCATACTCACTCACTCATCCTCCGATCCACTCAGACGCTTCTTACGTCCAGCTTATAATGCTTGGGACCAATTCTATCACGGAAGCACAATGGTTTCATTGGCAGGGTTAAATTCCTGCATTCTGATTAGCTGAATTGGTCACGTGTTATTGCATTCATTTCCCAATGAATGTGAAAAAAATTAAGCCACGCCCACCGCGGCGCACTACTTTTATTACTGCGGAATATCGGGGAATCCCAATATTACAATCGAGGGAATTCCCTTTCTGCTCACGTGTATCGTCCTGCACAGGACATTTAGCGACTTTCATGCATATTCATTGTCCAAACTACCCTTTGAAACCGAAGGCCGAGAATGAATGAAACAGCAAACGTGCAGGCTCGCTCGCCTGTTTTTTTCCCGCTCGCCCCGGTTCAACTTTCATGTCTTCGGGTTTCATTTATAACTTGCATTTCTCAACTGTGTTTTACCGTAATCAGGGAAGTAATGTTTGAATCGCGCAGTAAATGACCATGTTATTTGAAACAGCCGCCTTCTCTCGGACATATTTCTTCCGGTTCGTTACAGTCTGACTGTTGCAGTTCTTTTCGCCTCTTGCCTTAATTGACAGGTCCAATGGACATTGTTTTAATCCCACTCTCCGTTTATTGGCTACTGACTGTATAATAGGCGTGTAAAGTTATGCGCATAAATTAAACGATCACCTGATTCATGTCACGCCACTGTATGTATTCCTACACCTGGAATGTTTATCAATGTCGTAGTTTTTGTCTGTTTTGGTATATGCAACTGTTTTGGGTTAAACTATTGTAGACAAAACATGTTTTACGTTGTCGAATTTAATCATAAGCATTGACTGTATATTTTTTTCTACGCGGATTCATACAGTTTGCACATCGGTTTTTCGATTCATACCTCAATGAACCGAAAAAATATACAGTCAATGCTTATAATTAACGCTACGCGGATTCATACAGTTTGCACATCGGTTTTTCGATTCATACCTCAATGAACCGAACAAAATACACAGTCAATCCTTAACTGAAGCTGGTTAGCTGTACCTGTTACACTCAATACGGGGCGGTCGGATAGCCTAGTGGTTAAAGCGTTCGCTCGTCACGCCGAAGACCCGGGTTCGATTCCCGACATAGGTACAATGTGTGAAGCCCAATTCTGGTGTCCCTCGCCGTGATATTGCTGGAATATTGCTAAAAGCGGCGTAAAACCGTACTCACTCACTGGGTGCCGTGTCACGAAAGCCTCTTAGCGCAACGACGCAACACAACGGTTTACGATCCTCTTTAGGAACTCCTTACGACCGCTTCACGACAGCATCTTAACAGCGTCGGTCAATCGTAAACTAGGATGTCGCCTTACGACATAGTATTTCCGACATTGTATTTACGACATAGTATTTACGACATTGTATTTAACATAGCAACGGGACCCGGAAGTAAAAGGGCACCTGTCAATTTGATCGGCTGATGATCAATCGACATCGTTTTCACACCGGGACAGTTCCCGATCTTGAGATTTAACAGGTAGCATAGGCTGAAAGCGCTATACTGTTCACTTATTTGTCGTAATCAGAGATTCAGGAAGAGAGGCTCAATCTGGAAAGAGTGAGCGGGCGAGTTGGGTTTAACGCCGCTTATAACAGTATTAAAGTTATATCACGTCGTGTCAGCTTAATGTGGGAGGAAAGCCCGAAGTGATGCAGGTCTCAGACGTTTATCACTTCGGTGAAACCAACGAGCACGGGTATGGTGCTGACAAACCTAGAAACATAATAGGAGAGAACCTGGATTCGAACCCACAATCTGCACAGCGAATCGCGGCGCCTTAGACGACTGGGCCACCCGTGCGTCATATAGTTGGAATATTGCTGAGTGCGACGTTAAACAAACAAACAAACAAAGTAATTCGAAACAGAAGGCCAATTATGAGATAAACATATTTCTGAAATGTGAAGTGGGTAATTGTTGATAAGACACCACTGAATGTTTAATCAAGGATGAAATTTCAACCTAAAACATTTTAAAATAATAATAATAAGAATCTCCAGTCTACCATGACTAAAATGCGTTCTTTTAAAAACAGAGTCTCTTTCTTGTGCACGTTTTCAGTGCAGTGATGCAGTCAGTATTTTTTACCCACTAACTACCTCACATTTAGTAAAATTACCCAGTCAAATTAAAGAGTTCATCCGACCAATCAGAGCGTCGGTTACCAGATTGGGAAAGTGACAATCGGAATGTGCTCATTAATCAAGTTACCTCGGAAAAGGCTAACACGCGGTAGTCGGAGCGATAGTTACGGGGCTGTACGACTGATTCTGTCAAACTCATCGTCTATATCTCGCTTCAACGGGATAAACATTTGAAGCGGAAGAGACATTCTATAGCCCTAAATTACAGTAAACTACAGTTATAACGAACTCAAAGGGACCACTAATTGTAGTTCGTAATAACCGTAGTTCGTTATAAGCAAGCACAACATAATTACAACAAATGGCCTGGACTAAAAAATAAGTTCGTTATATCGGTCAGTTCGTTATAAGCGTGTTCGTTATAAACGTAGTTTACTGTACTGCCATACCATCTCGGCCATCTATTAGACATTACAGAGTTTTTTTGGTTCCGTTTTCAAATTTTGAATTGTAATTTTGAAAAGCGCAGTCTCGAATGGAAGTTGCCAGTTTGAAACTAGAGCCGTAAGGCTCGAGAAAGTTGCTTTCTGATTGGCTAAGGCTGTCTTCTTGTCTGTCATTTGACTGGTCGGTCAAAGTTCGCAAAAGGTCGTTCTGACGTGGCATGTAATAGCATGTCCTCAGATCATTGAGCTGTAGCGAGCACTAGGATATAAATTAAATGAGATTGATGGGGTTTTCACGAGGACGTTGACCTGATACAATCAAATAGGTCAGTCTAAGACAAAAGGATTACGTGATCCAGTGATTTATATATTTCTTCACATCTACATATATAGCGGAAAAGAGGCGCTATTCATCACTGGTCCTTTTCCGTAACCTGCGCTTTGGTGAGTGCCGGAAACATACGAATGGTCACGCTAGGACCTCGTTTCATTCGGGACAAATCAAATCGTCTTCGTGTGGGTTACGGAAAGATCCGAGTATTGACGAATGAAATTGGCAGATTTGATCAAACGTGAATAAGACGAAATATTTGTTTAGTTTGAAACAGGTTATTCCAAAAACAACAACAATATCGACAGGGTGGTGGGGACAACGTAGAAAACACTACGTCCTATAAGTTCTGTATTCCCACCACACAGATTCCACTGCAAACGCAATCAATTCATTCAGACACAATTGAAAGGGTCTTACACTCTCTTTGAACAAAACTTCCAAAGCATGTTTCCGTTTCAATGCAAAAACTTTAAAAGCATCAAAGAGCCTGTTTGAAGCGTGTATGAAGCCATCGATAAAACCGCTGCAAAAAATTTAACAAAAGACTTTGAATAAGAACTGAGATATATACTAGTCTGGTTCTCAAATAGCCCGAGTGGCTTAAGGAATTCAAGTCTCGTGGAAATCTCTCGACTTGTTGGCAGGAAGGAAAAAAATGAAGATGGCCGCTGTGTTGTTTATATTGGTGTTGGGGGTGTACACGTCGTCGGGGTTCGTGCCCCCTACATCCTTTAAAACAAACATTTTGCAGTCGACAACAGAGACGGGGACTAAGACCAGGCTGCTGGAGAACAGACAAGGTATCATTCTTTTCGCGAACACCTGGTGTCATCGTGATTTTAAGTGATCCATTCATATAATTTCATCACTTTTTTGCCTTGACGCCCAATGAGGGCTTTCCTCCCACATTAAGCTGACACGCCGTGATATAACTGGAATAATGTTTAGTTCGGCGTTAAACAACAAACAAACAAACATCATACCTTAAACTGACACTCCGTGATATAACTGGGATAATGTTGAGTTCGGCGTTAAACAAAAAAACAAAAACATCATACGTTGAACAGACACTCCGTGATATAACTGGAATAATGTTGAGTTCGGTGTTTAACAACAAACAAACATTATACGTTAAACTGACACTCCGTGATATAACTGGGATAATGTTGAGTTCGGCGTTAAACAACAAAAAACAAACATCATACGTTGAACTGACACTCCGTGATATAACTGGAATAATGTTGAGTTCGGTGTTTAACAACAAACAAACATTATACGTTAAACTGACACTCCATGATATAACTGGAATAATGTTGAGTTCGATGTTAAACAACAAACAAACATCATACGTTAAACTGACGCTCCGTGATATAACTGGGATAATGTTAGTTCGGCGTTAAACAACAAACAAACATTATACGTTAAACTGACACTCCATGATATAACTGGAATAATGTTGAGTTCGGCGTTAAACAACAAACAAACATCATACGTTAAACTGACACTCCGTGATATAACTGGGATAATGTTAGTTCAGCGTTAAACAACAAACAAACATCATACGTTAAACTGACACTCCGTGATATAACTGGGATAATGTTGAATTCGGCGTTAAACAACAAAAAACAAACATTATACGTTGAACAGACACTCCGTGATATAACTGGAATAATGTTGAGTTCGGCGTTAAACAACAAACAAAAAAACAAACATCATACGTTAAACTGACACTCCGTGATATAACTGGGATAATGTTGAGTTCGGTGTTAAACAACAAAAAACAAACATTATACATTGAACAGACACTCCGTGATATAACTGGAATAATGTTGAGTTCGGCGTTAAACAAAAAAACAACAAACAAACATCATACGTTAAACTGACACTCCGTGATATAACTGGAATAATGTTGAGTTCGATGTTAAACAACAAACAAACATCATACGTTAAACTGACACTCCATGATATAACTGGGATAAATGTTAGTTCGGCGTTAAACAACAAACAAACATCATACGTTAAACTGACACTCCGTGATATAACTGGAATAATGTTGAGTTCGATGTTAAACAACAAACAAACATTATACGTTAAACTGACACTCCGTGATATAACTGGGATAATGTTGAGTTCGATGTTAAACAACAAACAAACATCATACGTTAAACTGACACTCCGTGATATAACTGGGATAATGTTAGTTCGGTGTTAAACAACAAACAAACATTATACGTTAAACTGACGCTCCGTGATATAACTGGAATAATGTTGAGTTCGGCGTTAAACAACAAACAAACATCATACGTTAAACTGACACTCCGTGATATAACTGGGATAATGTTAGTTCGGCGTTAAACAACAAACAAACATCATACGTTAAACTGACACTCCGTGATATAACTGGGATAATGTTGAGTTCGGCGTTAAACAAAAAAAACCAAACATCATACGTTGAACAGACACTCCGTGATATAACTGGAATAATGTTGAGTTCGGCGTTAAACAACAAACAAAAAAACAAACATCATACGTTAAACTGACACTCCGTGATATAACTGGGATAATGTTGAGTTCGGCGTTAAACAACAAAAAACAAACATTATACGTTGAACAGACACTCCGTGATATAACTGGAATAATGTTGAGTTCGGCGTTAACCAAACAAACAAACAAACACACATCATACGTTAAACTGACACTCCGTGATATAACTGAAATAATGTTGAGTTCGGCGTTAAACAAACAAAGAAACATCATACGTTTAACTGACACTCCGTGATATAACTGAAATAATGTTGAGTTCGGCGTTGAACAACAAACAAACATCATACGTTAAACTGACACTCCGTGATATAACTGGGATAATGTTGAGTTCGGAGTTAAACAACAACAAAAAAACATCATACGTTGAACTGACACTCCGTGATATAACTGGGATAATGTTGAGTTCGGTGTTTAACAACAAACAAACATTATACGTTAAACTGACACTCCGTGATATAACTGGGATAATGTTGAGTTCGGCGTTAAACATCAAAAAACAAACATCATACGTTTAAAATGACACTCCGTGATATAACTGGAATAATGTTGAGTTCGATGTTAAACAACAAACAAACATCATACGTTAAACTGACACTCCGTGATATAACTGGGATAAATGTTAGTTCGGCGTTAAACAACAAACAAACATCATACGTTAAACTGACACTCCGTGATATAACTGGAATAATGTTGAGTTCGATGTTAAACAACAAACAAACATTATACGTTAAACTGACACTCCGTGATATAACTGGGATAATGTTGAGTTCGGCGTTAAACAACAAAAAACAAACATTATACGTTGAACAGACGCTCCGTGATATAACTGGAATAATGTTGAGTTCGGCGTTAACCAAACAAACAAACAAACACACATCATACGTTAAACTGACACTCCGTGATATAACTGAAATAATGTTGAGTTCGGCGTTAAACAAACAAACAAACAAACAAACATCATACGTTAAACTGACACTCTGTGATATAACTGGGATAATGTTGAGTTCGGCATTAAACAACAAAAAACAAACATTATACGTTGAACAGACACTCAGTGATATAACTGGAATAATGTTGAGTTCGGCGTTAAACAACAAACAAACATCATACGTTAAACTGACACTCCGTGATATAACTGAAATAATGTTAGTTCGGCGTTAAACAACAAACAAACATCATACGTTAAACTGACACTCCGTGATATAACTGGGATAAATGTTAGTTCGGCGTTAAACAACAAACAAACATCATACGTTAAACTGACACTCTGTGATATAACTGGGATAATGTTGAGTTCGGCGTTAAACAACAAACAAACATTATACGTTGAACAGACACTCCGTGATATAACTGGAATAATGTTGAGTTCGGAGTTAAACAACAAACAAACATTATACGTTGAACAGACACTCCGTGATATAACTGGGATAATGTTGAGTTCGGCGTTAAACAACAAAAAACAAACATTATACGTTGAACAGACACTCCGTGATATAACTGGGATAATGTTGAGTTCGGCGTTAAACAACAAAAAACAAACATTATACGTTGAACAGACACTCCGTGATATAACTGGAATAATGTTGAGTTCGGCGTTAACCAAACAAACAAACAAACACACATCATACGTTAAACTGACACTCCGTGATATAACTGAAATAATGTTGAGTTCGGCGTTAAACAAACAAAGAAACATCATACGTTTAACTGACACTCCGTGATATAACTGAAATAATGTTGAGTTCGGCGTTGAACAACAAACAAACATCATACGTTAAACTGACACTCCGTGATATAACTGGGATAAATGTTAGTTCGGCGTTAAACAACAAACAAACATCATACGTTAAACTGACACTCTGTGATATAACTGGGATAATGTTGAGTTCGGCGTTAAACAACAAACAAACATTATACGTTGAACAGACACTCCGTGATATAACTGGAATAATGTTGAGTTCGGAGTTAAACAACAAACAAACATTATACGTTGAACAGACACTCCGTGATATAACTGGGATAATGTTGAGTTCGGCGTTAAACAACAAAAAACAAACATTATACGTTGAACAGACACTCCGTGATATAACTGGGATAATGTTGAGTTCGGCGTTAAACAACAAAAAACAAACATTATACGTTGAACAGACACTCCGTGATATAACTGGAATAATGTTGAGTTCGGCGTTAACCAAACAAACAAACAAACACACATCATACGTTAAACTGACACTCCGTGATATAACTGAAATAATGTTGAGTTCGGCGTTAAACAAACAAAGAAACATCATACGTTTAACTGACACTCCGTGATATAACTGAAATAATGTTGAGTTCGGCGTTGAACAACAAACAAACATCATACGTTAAACTGACACTCCGTGATATAACTGGGATAATGTTGAGTTCGGCGTTAAACAACAAACAAACATCATACGTTGAACAGACACTCCGTGATATAACTGGAATAATGTTGAGTTCGGCGTTAAACAACAAACAAAAAAACAAACATCATACGTTAAACTGACACTCCGTGATATAACTGGGATAATGTTGAGTTCGGCGTTAAACAACAAACAAACATCATACGTTGAACAGACACTCCGTGATATAACTGGAATAATGTTGAGTTCGGTGTTAAACAACAAACAAAAAAACAAACATCATACGTTAAACTGACACTCCGTGATATAACTGGAATAATGTTGAGTTCGGCGTTAAATAACAAACAAAAAAACAAACATCATACGTTAAACTGACACTCCGTGATATAACTGGAATAATGTTGAGTTCGGCGTTAAACAAAAAAACAACAAACAAACATCATACGTTAAACTGACACTCCGTGATATAACTGAAATACTGCTCAAACCGCCCATCTACCTCACGGAATGAACACCTTGTTTTTTACAGACGCTACGGATGAAGATATGAAGAAATTCGAAAACTCTCTAGCAGATATTCTGAAGAAACTGGATTCCTTGGAATTAAAGCAAAGAGCACAAGGTACGACAACTATACACATGGTAAAAACGTTTAGCGCAGCTTACAATTTATTTAAGAACTGGTTTCAATATTTTTTGCGTTTATAGAATATAAACGTGAACACCGGTGTGCGTACTTTGTATTTCCGCGTGGTATATATACGCGCAGTGTGCACATCCGTTTATATTTTCTTAACACTAGATCTTTTTTTACGGAAGCCTTTTAGGGCCACTTGGTTTTTTTCTTGAAATTTCAAGACACTAACTTGAAATTTCCAGATGTTATGTTGAAATTTCAAGATACATAAGTTGAAAATTCAACTTAGTATGTATCTTGAAATTTCAAATTAGTATCTTACAATTTCAAGAAAAAAACCAAAAAAACCAAATGGCCCTAAAATGCTTCCGTACTAATTTCTTTATTTCGAAATTTCGAAACTTTAATTCTGTAATTTCTTGCCATCAAATAGACAAATGTTTTATGCTTCCAGCATCTTGCTACTGTTTACCACCCGGGGAGTTTAATCTTATGAAGAAACAACTTGACAACGCCAGAGCGATTTACGAAGAAGGTAAATAATTTGATAAGTCACGGTGAGTGCGTGTGCGTGTGCGCATGCGCTTGAGCGTGATCTACATGCATTCGGATCTTACCTACCTACCTACCTAACACCTCGGGCAGCAATGGAGTAGTGATATTGCTTCTTTTTTTTATTCACATGATATTCAACCACGGTATACATAACCATACAAGTCCGCGTGGTCAGGGACAAAATATTGTATGATTTTACTGCCAACCGTGTAGCGCCAGATTGTAATGTGGTAGTCACGTGAACAAGAGAAACAAGTGAGTGAGTGAGTTGGGTTTAACGCCGCTTTTAACAGTATTCCAGTTATATCGCGGCGTGTCTGCCTAATGTGGGAGGAGAGCCCGAAGTGATGTAGGTCTCAGACGTTTACCACTTCGTCGGACTCTGATAGCGAAGGCTGTCGGTCATACTATCAATCAAATGGTTTGTCTGGTCCAGACTCAATAATGTTTTTACAGACATATAGCTGGAGTGCGGCGTTATGCAACACACAAACAAAATCAATCTCCAAGGAAACGAGTGAATACGAAAGGTCAGGCGCTATGACTTACTGAGTCGTGCGGGGCGGTGGGGTAGCCTAGTGGATAAAGTGTTCGCTCGTCACTCCGAAGATCCGGGTTCGATTCCCCACATGGGTACAATATTTGAAACTCATTTCTGGTATCCCAAGCCCTGATACTGCTGAAATATGGCTAAAAGCAGCGTAAAACAATACTCAGTCACTACTATGTCGTGCCCTGTTTTTGTGGATAATTGCTCATGCTATCAACCACTGGTTGTCTGGTCAAGACGCGATTACTTACAAACTGTCTTGATATAGCTGTATTCCTTACCGCGGCGTAAAATAAAAGTCACTAAATTACTTTCTTGCGACGTCGGAAACGAAGGCTAGACTTTTGCTGATAAATCTGCCCATCCATTATTACTGCTAAACAGGGGTGGTTTAGCCAAGTGGTTTAGGCGTTCGTCCGTCACGCCGTGTGTCGGGTTCGATTCCCCACACGGCTATAATGAGTGAAGCGGTCTGTGGTTCAGGGCCTGGTGGACAGACTAGGCAGTTGTTTGTGGTTCTACGGGATTTTACTCCAGGGCTAGGATTTCTGTAAACCTACACTAACCCCTACATCCATTTCCGTGGCTCTCGCGATCGCAAATTGCCCGCACTTGATTTTCAAAATCTAGGGCGCATCCAAAACATACTCTCATACTTGCTAGAGAGTTTTGTGTTTCCATCTTTACCCAATTGACACGTTGAGGAGGACAGTGGAGGCACGGTATGATGATTCTTACAACTACTGCTACTGCTACGGGACCGCCTCCGTGGTCTAGTGGTAGAGCGTCAGCCCGGAGAGCTGAAGGTCCGGGGTTCGATCCCCGACCGCGTCATACCATAAGACGTTAAAAGATGGTACTTGTTTGTTATCCTGCCTGGCGCTCGGCATTAAGGGGCTAAAACAAAGACTTGTCGGCTCGGAGTCAGTCTACTGTGTCTGAGGGAATCAATGTTTAACTGCGGCATGGAATCTCATTAGTCAGGACTTTTACAAGCAGCTACACACACGACTACTACTACTACTACTACTACTACTACTACTACTACAACTACTACTACTACTGAAGTGCGACCGCCTCCGTGGTCTAGTGGTAGAGCGTCAGCCCGGAGAGCGAAGGTCCGGGTTCGATCCCCGGCCGCGTCACACCATAAGACGTTAAAAGATGGTAGTTATTGTTAGCCTGCCTGGCGCTCGGCATTAAGGGGCTAAAACAAGGACTGGTCGGCTCGGAGTCAGTCTACTGTGTCTGAGGGAATCAATGTTTAACTGCGGCATGGAATCTCATTAGTCAGGACTTGTACAAGCAGCCACACAAACGACTACTACTACTACTACTACTACTACTACTACTACTTGACCGCCTCCGTGGTCTAGTGGTAGAGCGTCCGCCCGGAGAGCGGAAGGTCCGGGATTCGATCCCCGGCCGCGTCACACCATAAGAGGTTAAAAGATGGTACTTGTTGTTACCCTGTCTGGCGCTCTGCATTAAGGGGCAAGGTCCGGGGTTCGATCCCCGGCCGCGTCACACCATAAGAGGTTAAAAGATGGTACTTGTTGTTACCCTGTCTGGCGCTCTGCATTAACTGGTCGGCTCGGAGTCAGTATACTGTGTCTAAGTGGGGTATTCATGTTAAACTGCGGCATGGTATCTCTGTGTGCTAGCACTATAAATCGGCACCAGTCCGGTCTAGCACCACACACACACACACACACACACACACACACACACACACACACACACACACACACACACACACACACACACACACACACACACACACACACACACACACTACGTTAACCCCATTTCACCTCACCTCACTTAACCTACTGCTGCTACTGCTACTACAACTACTACTTCTGCTACTGCTACTGGTGCTACGGCAGTTTCTACTGATACCAATTCTTCCACTACACTCAAATATTACCTACCCTACAGGCTCAACACACCATGCCATGGAGGCTGCCATAAACAACACACCAAGCGGGTCTAACAACGCAAGAGAGACTGGTACACCAAGCGGGTCTAACAACGCAAGAGAGACTGGTACACCAAGCGGGTCTAACAACGCAAGAGAGACTGGTACACCAAGCGGGTCTAACAACGCAAGAGAGACTGGTACACCGAGCGGGTCTAACAACGCAAGAGAGACTGGTACACCGAGCGGGTCTAACAACGCAAGAGAGACTGACACACCAAGCGGGTCTAACAACGCAAGAGAGACTGACACAGCAAGCGGGTCTAACAACGAAATAGAGACTGACACAGCAAGCGGGTCTAACAACGCAAGAGAGACTGACACACCAAGAAGGTCTAACAACGCAAGAGAGACTGACACACCAAGAAGGTCTAACAACGCAGGAGAGACTGGTACACCAAGCGGGTCTAACAACGCAAGAGAGACTGGTACACCTAGCGGGTCTAACAACGCAAGAGAGACTGATACACCAAGAAGGTCTAACAACGCAAGAGAGACTGACACACCAAAAGGGGCTAACAAAACAAGAGAGGGTGACGCACCAAAAAGGTCTAACAACATTACAGGTATATATATTTATTATGTAACGGCAGAGGGGCAGTGGGTTAGCCTAGTGGTTAAAGCGTTATGCTACAGACCTAGGTTCGATTCCCCACGTGTACAATGTGTGAAACCACTTTCAAGTGTCCCCGGCCACAGCATTGCTGGTCTATTGCTTAAAGCGATACCAATGATACTCACGCCAAAGGAATGCCACGCTGCACAGCTAATTGCGGTGCCTTAATTATACGAACCGGACACCCTTGTACCCTTCCGTTCATTAACGGACTACCTTTTATATTGCCTTATCCCAATTCTCGAATCATCTGAATTCGACGTAAACGCAGTTGCAAAACACGATAATTAAAGAAGTTACTTCGCCTTAAGCGAAGTACTGAATCCCCTGAGTTCGAGATAAGGAGGTGTCCATTTATCAGTAACCTTCCATAAAGACCTAATACAAAAAAAATCCGAAGACTCCAAAGCAAGTCTTCCATACATTGGCAAGTCTAGATTTCTTCAGTTTCGAGCCAAAATGATAATGAAAGAAGTTACTCCGCCTTAAGCGAAGTACTGAATCAGCTGAGTTCGAGATAAGGAGGTGTCCATTTATCAGTAACCTTCCATAAAGACCTAATACAAAAAAAATCCGAAGACTCCAAAGCAAGTCTACCATACATTGGCAAGTCTAGATTTCTTCAGTTTCGAACCAAAACCTCTCTTCTATTAATGCTATAAGCACAATTGTAAGAAACTGAATGTTCGTCTAATAGATCAGTTCATGTTTCAGAAAAGACCTGTCTATCACATCCGGGTTACTCTTACCTGGAAGACAGTCTATGCTTCCGGTTCAGCGCATTCAAAGACGTTCGGAACTGGAAAGCTAGCCGGAAGACTTGTCAGGAAGATGGGGGCGACCTGATGACGTTTTACAGGCAAAGGGAAGTTGACGTCATGGTGAAATACCTCAACGGTCTTGGCGAGTCGGCGTACGATTCCGGTACACTCAATAAACCCGTTATCTCATCCTCGACAATCCAGGAGAGTATATCTCCTTTCCATCATGACGAATAACTTTGCTTCTTTTTGAACCCGAGTCGAATATTATGACCATCAAAATTCACATGACATTATATTCATGAGCGAGAGAATATATGTTAGTATTCGCTCGTCACGCCGAAGCCCTGGGTTCAATTCGCCATGTAGGTACAATGTCTGAAGCCCATTTCCGGTGTCCCTCGCTGGTTTGCTGGTACATGTATATTGCTAAATGCGGCGTAAAAACATACTCACTCACTATGTCAGTGGTGAAAGAGAAAGTATGACGTCACAGATGAAGCTATGACGACGAATTTGTCCAGTGCAGTTATATCATGATATAATACCCTGATAATGCAGACTATGTACGGATCGAATCCCGGTTCGCCCCGATTATGTTTCTAGGTTTGTCAACACCATACCTGTGCTCGTGGCTTTCACCAAAGTGGTAAATGTCTCAGACCTGCATCCTTTCGACCCATCCCAATCAAACTGGACTTAAATGCTGTTCAAGGCGGCGTTCGACCCAACGCACTCACTCACTCATTGTATAGTACCTAGGTTTGTTTGTTGTTTAACGCCGCACTCAGCAATATTCCAGCTGTATGACGGCGGTCTGTAAATAATCGAGTTTAGACCGGACAATCCAGTGATTAACATCAATCGTTAAACCCAACTCACTCACTCACTCCAGGACACGCATTTCGGTAAACCTACACGAACCCCTGGATCCATTCCTGTGGTTGTCGTGATCTCAAATTACTCGCCCTTGATTATTATTAGCCAATCTGATAGGCTACGCTACTCAGTCTAACGGTCCAATCAGAATGTAAGTTACAAACCAGTCTCAAAGTTGCGTTGGCTATATCAACAACATGGCGACGAGTCCCATTGATTTCGAAAGAATTTAGGAGAAATTCAACATTAACATACTGACTGACACGTAAAAGAAAGCCCCCAAACATCTTTTTGATAAAAAAATTGTCTCCATGCCCATTAAAACTGGTGGGTGGTGGCTTTGGTTTCTAGGCATTACGAGTTACCTCCCTTACTCATTTCGGTTTCTCGACGTTTGATAAGTCGATAAAATGTTAACTGGACCTTGCATTACATTACCACTATCTTTTAAATCCTCAGGGCTGTTTTATATCCGAAATAGGAAAATACTGTCTACATTAATGACAGTAGGTTTAACAGTAGGCTGTGGACTCCAAATCAAGGCGGTCGGGTAGCCTTGTGGTTAAAGCGTTCTCTCGTCACGCTTAAGACCCGGGTTCGATTCCCGACATGGGTACAATGTGTGAAGCCCATTTCTGGTGTCTACCGTGATATTGCTGGAATATTGCTAAAAGCGGCGTAAAACCACCCTGACTCACCAAATCAAGGCAACTCAACATGGACTAAACTGCTGATGTAGACACACACTGCAGTATTCATCACACCAATATTCCATGTCTTTTACAATATTTCATACATTTGTCTTAATCATTAATGTTACTTTTTCGGACTACTTCTAATATGGACGTATTGCACAGTAAATGCACTTTATGCATTTCAATATTTAATACGTATGCTGGTTGGTTGGTTGGTTTGTTGTTTAACGCCGCACTCAGCAATATTCCAGCTATATGACGGCGGCCTGTAAATAATCGAGTCTGTCTGTTTGTTGGTTGTTTAACGCCGCACTCAGCAATATTCCAGCTATAAATAATCGAGTCTTGACCAGACAATCCAGTGATTAATATCATGAGCATCGATCCACGCAATATGGATACGATGACATGCATCAACCAAGTCTGCGAGATTGACCACCGATCCCGTTATTCGTCTCTTACGACAAGCATAGTCTTCTTTTGCGGCAAGCATGGGTTGCTGAAGACCCGGATCTAAACAAAAAAACAAACAAAACAACAGACGCTGTCCGCATGAATGTTAATGCTAAGGGCGTCGCATTTTGGACAGGTTTTGCCCAATCCATTTGAATTTTAAAGTCAATAGAATATTTTAAAGCAAAACAAAACAGAGGATTGCTATTCTGTCTTTTAATTTATAATTCTCTATTTCATTTCAGTGTCTCCCATGTTGAAGGCTTGGGTGGGTATGAGGCGGGTGGCTGGGAAGTACCAGTGGGTGACGGACAGTACGTTCTCTGGGGGGTGGGGACAAGGGGAGCCGCTGAACTTAAGCGTCTACAAGTGCGTCTCATTCATGTACGACGGCATCGGGGACGGCCTGTGCACGCCACGTCTCCGCTACCTTTGTAGGATCAGAACCGATTCAACATCGCCTACACAAGGCGACGCAAAATAACTGTCTACGTGACACAGGGGACCCTGTCGTAACCGGACTCTCCCTATTAGCATAGAGTGAATGTATTTCTGTAATGATATCATTAAACAATATCTCAGTTACCTGATTTCGTATGTACACCGACGATAAAGAAACGAATACATGACACATTTTTGGATATCAACTTCTTTTATTCTGTTACACGACGAAGGAGCTCTGAAACGACGTGACAAAGAATAAAAGAAATTGCTATCCATAAAAAAGTGCCATGTATTCATGCTCTTCCAACTTCTAAATGTCTATCAAAGACTTCATTCGATAGACCCGTGAAAATCATGGGTAGAATAGGTCTTCAGCAACCCATGCTTGCCGTAAAAGGCGATTAACGGGATCGGGTGGTCAGGCTCGCTGACTTGGTTGATGCATGTCATCGTACAGTCAAGTCTCGTTAATCCGACATCGTTGGTTGCACATGATTGTGTCGGATTAACGAGTATATCAATTGCGTGAATCGATGCTCATGATGTCAGTCACTGGATTGTGTGGTCCAGACTCGATTATTTACAGACCGTCGTCATATAGCTGGAATATTGCTGAGTGCGGCGTTAAACAACAAACAAACAAATAAACTTCATTCGATGAGGATAAGGTTCAATACCACAGCAAAACCATGACAACGAATAAGACGATTGGCGCTGTTATTTATAATAATTGACTTCCATGTGTTTCTTGCGTTTAAAAATTATAAACGTAAAAACCGATTTGCAAATTGTGAAAACCAGCGGCGTAAAAAAAAGCGGATTAACTCAAAATGTGCACACATAGTTTTACGTTTAAAACTCAATACAAGCAAAGAAAATTGCAGTCAATTCTTATAAATTAATACTTCAACAATAATAACTTCACAGATTGCGTACACTTTAATCGTTAACACCCAACCCTGAAGACAGCTGTACGGAACCAGAGACATTGTTCAGGGCACTACTGCGACTAAGGCCACCCATTCTATTATCAGTCAATCAGGAAACAATCGAAAAAATAATTGCTAGGCAAGCCAGTGAGAAATGGCATAGAATCACTTGCAATTTATATATTGACTAGAAGTGTAAATCTGCTGACAAGTTGAATTTGTCGCATGGACAACCTGGGACTGGTTCCACAAAGCGATCTAAGTCTATGAGGCCAGACTTGGATTACGAATCCGCCGACTCAAAATTTAAAAAAAAAATTGAAATGAAAAAATATGAAGTAAAAAAGAAGAAGCAAAACAAAGTTGTGTTTTATTCTACCGACCCGAAAATTGCTAAAATTTGTTCCCTGTCGCTATCCATACACATTTTATAATTTAAAATACTGTTATTAAAACATGTTGAAAAGTTAACTTAAAGCTTCAAAACAACGATTAATGATGAAATCGCGAGAGGGGCTAAAATATAAAATATTTGAAATTGGATTAAAAAGAAAATTCGTCCAACCTACCTGAATTTTAGGAGCTAAACTCCGTAAACCCCACATCCAATTTTAAGTATCAGTTTGTTCAGAATAGAAAGTGTTAACCTTTTGTCGCTATGAATAACTGCAATATTGCTCAATATTAACTCACCCACTCCCAAACTTAAGGCGTAACGGTTGTTATCCCAAATGGAAATTTCTATCTGCTCCCTAACTACACTGTGAAGAGTTCACGTAGTGGGACTTATTTGATACTGTATAAATATGATAATATATTTTATTTTATAATATATTATTTAATTTATATACCCCCCCACAACAGTTCAAGTCTTCACAGGGATATCCCGGCGGTGGGGTAGTTTAGTGGTTAAAGCGTTCGCTCGTCACGCCGAAGACCCGGGTTCGATTCCCGACATGGGTACAATTTGTGAAGCCCATTTCTGGTGTACCCCGCCGTGATATTGCTGGAAAATTGCAAAAAGCGGCGTAAAATCAATCACACTCACTTTATACCATGTTACCGAGAGTCACACGGAGTACTGCAAAGGGATGTAACTCTTGTAAGGCTAGGTTTACCATTTCCAATCGTCTTCCCCACGATGTCGCTGCAAAGGGGCCGTAACTCTGTAAGCCTTAACCAAGCATGAGTGACAGTACACAATTGAGCCATCAACGCCTGTTATTGTGGCATCGATCCGGATAGACCGGAAGTTCTGGCACGCCCGAACGATGATTCAGCGTTATAAATCACATGTCAACAACCAGGTCCAGCCGGTGTTGTGGGAAAACGACCACTGCGTACTCGACAGGAGATGGCGAGGGAAGGAAGGTGGGAGGGAGGGAGGGAGGGAGAGAGGAGGTTAATTGAAGAAAGAAATCCGCAGTCTGTGGCAATCGAGGTTTCGTAGAAGCTGCGATGATGAATAGGACACAAGTTCATAATGATGATAATGATGAGGACTAAGTGACAAATAAATAAATAGATAGATAGATAGATAGATAGATAGATAGATAGATAGATAGATAGATAGATAGATAGATAGATAGATAGATAGATAATAATAATAATTAAAATGAAGTGATTAGGCAATATTACTACAACTAATAGCTGAAAGCGAGGACGGGATCGGGTGGTCAGGCTCGCCGACTTGGTTGATGTATGTCATCGATACCAATTGCGTGGATCAATGCTCATGATATCAATCACTGGATTGTCTGGTCCAGATTCGATTATTAACAGACTGCCGTCATATAGCTGGAATAGTGCTGAGTGCGGCGTAAAACAACAAACCAATTAACCAACCGACATAAAGATAATGTTATTGAAGATAACTACTACTACTACTACTACTACGACGACGACGACTACTACTACTATTATTATTATTATTACTACTACTACTGCTATGCCGACGACGATGACTGTTTCCCTCTCCCTGTAAAAAGATTACACAATTGTACACGTTCAAATTACTTCCGGGTATGACAGCTGGATCGCCTCTCTCCCTCTCCGCGTGCATCCCCAACAAACTTGCATCCCCACCACCATCCGACCCCACGCAGACGCTATGTCGTCATGGGCCAGTGTCAACTGACCAGCGTGGATTACCCTGCCTCCAACACACGCTGAATCTCTCCGGTGCCCTTGAGAAGGTCAAAACGGGTATTCCCCGCCCGGCTGGTGGACGTGCGAAATCGCTTGCTCCGTCGGTTGATAAAAGCGAACCGTGTCTCGAGATTGCATTATCAGAGGACGAAGTTCACTTAAACGGTCGCATCGTTGAGAAAGGATTATTTTAATTCAGGTGAGTTTAAAAATACAGCATTACTCATCTTTGACTTTTATTTCATATGGTGTAAGTACATACTGACGTAATTAAGTAAAGATCAATATTTAATTTTTGTCCCTGATATGGGTTTTTCACTTGGATAGACCTTTTAGAGGACATCCGCCATATTCAATGCATGCCCTGATTCGTGTATGTAATGAAAGCAGGGCTTATTGCGTATTTTTGATTTGTAATATCTAATCTTGTTATTTTTTTCACATAGAAAATATCGATTTTTCTCTTTTTCACTATGAACATGTTTTAGCGTGTCGTGAATCGTTTGCTTGCAATTGAGATTTTATAAACGTTTTTCGTATTAAACGAGATTTCATTTTTGAATTCATTTAATTTTATCTACATGTATGACGCGAGTTTCCTTATTAGATGGTTGTATAGTTTCGCCCAGCACCGTACATTGTGAAGGTGGTCACAGTATGTCCTTGATTAAGGAACCGGTGTTGACAGCGTTGTTTAACTCCCACGATCTTTTTAAATTTTGTGCTATGATTTTATTATCTGAAACATTCTCAAACTAACCATACAAAATAGACCTTCATGTGTCTGTATTACATTGCCTACATATTTGATAACAACTTAATACATACCGTATGATGGTGTCATGTTGGTACATACACGGTGTTGTGTTGGTACATACATGGTGTTATGTTCGTACATACATGGTGTTGTGTTGGTACATACATGGTGTTGTGTTGATACATACATGGTGTTGTGTTCGTACATACATGGTGTTGTGTTCGCACATACATGGTGTTGTGTTGGTACATACATGGTGTTATATTAGTACATACATGGTGTTATGTTCGTACATACATGGTGTTATGTTCGTACATACATGGTGTTATGTTCGTACATACATGGTGTTATGTTCGTACATACATGGTGTTATGTTCGTACATGCATGGTGTTATGTTCGTACATACATGGTGTTATGTTCGTACATGCATGGTGTTATGTTCGTACATACACGGTGTTATGTTCGTACATACATGGTGTAAGTTTCGTACATACATGGTGTTATGTTCGTACATACATGGTGTTATGTTCGTACATACATGGTGTAAGTTTCGTTCATGCATGGTGTTATGTTCGTACATACATGGTGTTATGTTCGTACATGCGTGGTGTCATGTTCGTACATACATGGTGTTATGTTCGTACATACATGGTGTAAGTTTCGTACATGCATGGTGTTATGTTCGTACATACATGGTGTTATGTTCGTACATGCGTGGTGTCATGTTCGTACATACATGGTGTTATGTTCGTACATACATGGTGTAAGTTTCGTACATGCATGGTGTTATGTTCGTACATACATGGTGTTATGTTCGTTCATGCATGGTGTTGTGTTCGTACATACATGGTGTTATGTTCGTACATATATGGTGTAATGTTGGTACATACATGGTGTTATGTTGGTACATACATGGTGTTATGTTGGTACATACATGGTTTTTATTTTCGTACATACATGGTGTTGTGTTCGTACATACATGGTGTTGTGTTCGCACATACATTGATATGTTCGTACATACATGGTGTTATGTTGGTACATACATGGTGTTATGTTGGTACATACATGGTGTCATGTTCGTACATACATGGTTTTTATTTTCGTACATACATGGTGTTATGTTCGTACATACATGGTGTTATGTTGGTACATACATGGTGTTATGTTGGTACATACATGGTGTTATGTTCGTACATACATGGTGTTATCTTGGTACATACATGGTGTTATGTTGGTACATACATGGTGTTATGTTCGTACATACATGGTTTTTATTTTCGTACATACATGGTGTTATGTTCGTACATACATGGTGTTGTGTTCATACATACATGGTGTCGTGTTCGTATATACATGGTGTTGTGTTGGTACATACATGGTGTTGTGTTCGTACATACATGGTGTTATGTTCGTACATACATGGTTTTTATTTTCGTACATACACGGTGTTATGTTCGTACATACATGGTGTTATGTTGGTACATACATGGTGTTATGTTGGTACATACATGGCGTTATGTTGGTACATACATGGTGTTATCTTGGTACATACATGGTGTTGTGTTCGTACATACATGGTGTTATGTTCGTACATACATGGTTTTTATTTTCGTACATACACGGTGTTATGTTCGTACATACATGGTGTTATGTTGGTACATACATGGCGTTATGTTGGTACATACAGGGTGTTATGTTGGTACATACATGGTGTCATGTTCGTATATACATGGTGTTATGTTCGTTCATACATGGTGTTATGTTCGTACATACATGGTGTTGTGTTCGTACATACATGGTGTCATGTTCGTATATACATGGTGTTATGTTCGTACATACATGGTGTTATGTTCGTACATACATGGTGTTATGTTGGTACATACATGGTGTCATGTTCGTACATACATGGTGCCATGTTCGTACATACATGGTGTTATGTTGGTACATACATGGTGTTATGTTGGTACATACATGGTGTTGTGTTCATACATACATGGTGTCATGTTCGCATATACATGGTGTTATGTTCGTTCATACATGGTGTTATGTTCGTACATACATGGTGTTGTGTTCGTACATACATGGTGTTAATACATGGTGTTGTGTTCGTACATACATGGTGTTATGTTTGTACATACATGGTGTTATGTTCGTACATACATGTCCCCCACCCCCACCCCACCCCCCCACCCCCCCGCCCCAATTCATTTGCTCTAATTTCGTATCACCTATCACCTTCCGAAAAACCAGAGACTTAAATTAATCATACGTCAGAGTAACCAATAAATGCTCAGCTCGTGAGTTTATATTTTTCATCTTAAGGTCGAATCCCCTCCAGAATACAATCATTGGTTTGTCAGCGGCGTTAAACAACAAACAAACAAGTATGGCAGTTTTGTTCGAGTCATTAACGCATGCAATACTTCCCCGTGGGGCTGATCGTGACTGAAATGCAGGATTTTTCTAGACGGCCTAAAACTCGCAACGATTAAACCCCGGCCTCCTGAAGACTCTCTCACAGAGATACCGCCTGGGCCTTGTCTTGCACGAGCTGTCTGTCATGGCGATAAACACCAGCCTGATAACCCAGTATAACTCACTCCGCTCATCACTGGGCACGCTGTATCACGGTGATGAAGGCATTTGATCAGATGACGCTGATAAACAATTTCACCTCCGCTTACATGTACGTCCGGCCAGCTACTCCATGGTGGGTAGCGGACATGAAACAGCAGAGTTTCAGAGTTTCAGAGTGAGAGAGAGAGAGAGAGTGAAATGTTTATTTTTGTGTCACACGCACAAGCCGTCATGGTAAAAACATTTGGCATAGTATAATTTCCGGACAAAAGCTTGTACATCCAGCCTTATTAGGCTTATGAGACACATGAAAATACAAGTATATCCATTGTGAAATAAATAAATAAATAAATAAATAAATAAATATGTACTATACTTATAACAATAAAAGTGGTGTTTACCTTTTTTTAAAGTAACAATAATAATTGTAGTAATAATGATATCAACTTTTATAGTTTTGTCTTCTTTTAAACATATAATATAGACATTTAGCTAAAATGTGTTGCAGTGATTCCTCTTGCATAATAAAAATCAATTTGTCTGAGCTGCCTAAATTTAAAAAAATCACTGTTTCACTGTTTCAGATACACTCCGTATAATTGCGCATGTGCGTAAAATACGCAGAGTAAACTACTTTTACGCAATAATTATCAAGTTGCTAGCGTATTAATACGCATGACATATCCAAGACCTTACAAGTATTACACTGCGTTGTTACCAGTGTAGCCAATTGATATTGCGTATTAGCATCTTCCTGTGGAAACTGGACTTTTATGGTCAGTTAACTCCTTTGCCTTGAGACCCGTGAAGATCCGGGGTAGAATAGGTCTTCAGCAACCCATGCTTGCCGTAAAAGGCGACTATGCTTGTCGTAAGAGGCATCTAACGGGATCGGGTGGTCAGGCTCGCTGACTTGGTTGATTCATGTCATCGTGTCCCAATTGCGTGCAATGATGCACATGTTATCAATCACTGGATTGTCTGGTCCAGACTCGATTTTATTACAGACCGCCGTCATATAGCTGGAATATTGCTGAGTGCGGCGTTAAACAACAAACAAACAAAACACTACCAAAAATATTTGGAAATATTTACCTTTGTATCAACCAGATTATTTTACAATTTCAGCTGAACACAGCGGGACGTTTCTCAACATGTCTAATTATGTTGCTTTCGGATTTGGAATGCGTGCATTCAAGAGATTTCCTGAGGTAGGTGTTGATGACTTTTCTAATCAACGTATCATTGTTCATATATTGTATTTTTTTACTTATAGTTTTTCATGAAATAAACGCGACTGAACTGGGTCAGCTCATAGTCGGTCGACAAAATTAATATAGTTCGAAAGTGTTCATCAAAGTCACGTGTGACTTGTGACCTCACTTTGAGATCATGATGTGACCTGCAGTCGTTGTCGTAAGCATCGTCGTAAGTGTCGTCCACAACACAGTGGACAGATGAACGGACACTGGGCACGGGCGGCCCAATCGTTTAAGGCGCCGCAATTCGATGTGCAGAGTTGCGTCCCTTATGCACGCCAGGAACCTATAACCGTGGGTTCAAATCGCAGATTCACCCCGATTATGTTTCTAGGTTTGTCAGCACCATACCCGTGCTCGTGGGTTTCGCCCAAGTGGTAAAGGTCTGAGACCTGCTTCACTTCGGGATCTCGCCCAACCACCTCACTCCTAGTGTGACGATATTTATATACCTCGGTAACCCGACGTCCTTGAGGCATTAAATATCGACTTATCCGTAGACAAAATAATCGAGATAATATTACGAGTTATCCGTAGACAAATATTTCGAGCTATCCGTAGACAAAACAATCGCTAACATATATGTCTAAATATCCATAGACAAAATAATCGAGATAAACTTTCGACTTATCCGAAGGCAAATAATATTTCGAGTAATCCGTAGACAAATATTTCGAGTTATCTGTAGACAAAACAATCGCTAACATAAATGTCCAAATATCCATTGACAAAATAATCGAGATAAAATATCGATTTATCCGAAGACAATACCGATATTTTACCAGATCTGTGTTCTACCGCGACGTACGTCAACGTATACAGTGAATCTCCGTGTTAAGCCGATCCATGTCAATCCGGAAACTTCGCTTAACGGTTGATTACTCTTTGAAATATCTACATATACACAGAACATTATTCCGTACCCAAGATTCGAGAACCTCGTTAAACCGGACATCGCTGGGAACGATACCGTCCGGATTAACGAGGTTTAACAGTATCGCATAAACTGTTGGCGTAAACATTTCGCTGTATGAACGCACACCACTAGACACCATGCAGCAGGTGACACGGCGTATGGAATGTCAGTTTTCTCGTTACCGCTGTTGCATTGTAAACATTCTAAAGCTTTTCAAGCGAGAAACATGAATATGTTAATATGTACACATGTTGCGATCGACTACATTTCCCTTTGTGTGGAGAAGAGTGATACATTTCGCAGACATGTGTAAGGCCAAATTACGATTGGTTTGTTAGGTTCTTGTTTAAAGCCGCACGCGGCAAAATTCCAAGAAAACGACGGCGGTCAAGTCTTGACCAGTCAATCAGTATTCATTGTACTGAACGTCAGATACACGAAGCTATCGTTAGGCGATAAGGTGACCTTGCATGGTTTGACCTTGAAAGTAATCAATGCGTTTGACTGCACGTAGACAACGCTCACTGTGACGTGTGCTTCGTTTGCAATAGGTTATTGATCTGTGCGTGGTATATTGAATACTGGGTGAGGCCTGTTGCAATCTATCACTGTCCCCCCAGACATTGCGAACACTTTACAAACATAATTGCTATTCAGGAACATGTTGAGGTATTTGCAGAGAACTTGTATACACACATCCATTTTGTAGAATGAGTCTATTTTATGTAATAGATAGATACTTTTTATAGATATCCAGTTCTACCGACGTGACGCAATAGTACGTTTGTTTGTTTGTTGGTTAAATTACGAGGGTGTCATTTTGAGAATCATCGAAGGGCATAAGGGTAACCTAACGGTTATTAAATACCGGTTTCGACCCCCACATCGGTTTTTCCATTCTGGGTTTAGTTTTGTTTGTGTGTTGTTTTACGCCGCACTCAGCAATCTTCCAAATTTACGACGGCATCTGTAAATAATCGAGACTGGTCCAGACAATCCAGTGATCGACATCATGAGCACCGATCTACGCAGTTGGGATACAATGATATGCATCACCCGATCCCGTTAGTCGCCTCTTACATCGATGCTGAAGACCAAGCCTGTCCGGATCGTCACGGGGTCCGGGTTTCCTGGGTTGTGTATGCAATTGTTGCTGTTCCGTGATCAAAATAGATCGATTCTTCAGACAGTACAAGGGGCAGTGGCGTAGCCTAGTGGTTTAAGCGTTCGCTCGTCACGCCGAAGACCCGGGTTCGATTCCCGACATGGGTACAATGTGTGAAGCCCATTTCTGGTGTCCCCCGCCGTGATATTGGTGGAATAGTGCTAAAAGCGGCGTAAAACCACTCACTCATTCAGACAGTACTCGAAAGAGTGCAACCATCGACTAATGTGCCGACGTGAATGGCAACATACATTTCTACAACAATTGATTCTCGCAAACGTTTAGTGACATCTAATGAGCGATATGTAAAGGTTATGGGCCGTAGGCCATTTTTTTTTTGTCCAGGGACAATAGCTGGGGATTGTTGACCTTGGAACCGATTGCCTTTCTGGAGGTCGCCCCGATTATGTTTCTAGGTTTGACAGCGCCATACCGTGCTCGTGGGTTTCACCCAAGTGGTAAACGTCTGAGACCTGCTTCACTTCGGACTTTCCTCCCACATTAAGCTGACACGTCCTAATATATCAGGAATATTGTTCAAAGCGGCGTTAAACACAATTCACTCACTCACTGTTGGCTATCGGGACGATGCTGCGCAATGGTATTTTATTAGATATTCGGAATCGGGGTTGGGCCATCGCATGAACGACGTCCCTCCAGGAGACGTCAGGTGTGTGAATGGTAGGGCGCGGGTAACGGTCCGTGTGACAGGTGTGTGCGGCACGGGCTGAGCGAGCGTTGTGTATAGCCATATCGGAACCGACCAAACTGAATTATGAACGATATCTGACCGCCCATGGGGATCTCAGCCGACTATTGATTATTGTAACGGGATTATGTTGGTGTCAGGTGCTGATTGTATGTCGTCAGCGTTGTACGTTGGTCACGTTTCTGTTTGTTTGTTGTTTAACGCCGTACAATATTCAAGCTATATGACGGCGGTCTGTAAACAATCGAGTCTGGACCAGACAATCCAGTGATTGACATCAAGAGCATCGATCCACGCAATTGGAATACGATGACATCAACAAGTCTGCGTGATTGACCAACCGATCCCGTTATTCGTCTCTTAGGACAAGCATAGTCTTCTGTTACGGCAAGCATGGGTTGCTGAAGACCCGGATCTAAACAAACAAACAAACAAACAAAACAAAAGACATGGCCATTCAACCCCATTTTACCTCATCATATCACTTATTACATGTATACTACTAAAAGGAATTAAGGTCCACCCGATTCGTTCATATTATTATTGGACCCGTGAAGATCCGTGATAGAATAGGTCTTCTGCAACCCATGCTTGTAAAAGGCGACTAACGGGATCGGGTGGTCAGGTTCACTGACTTGGTTATAGCATGTCATCGATGCCATTTGCGCGGATCGATATTCAGGATGTCAATAACTGGATTGTCTGGTCCAGACTCGATTATTTACAGACCGCCGACATATAGCTGGAATATTGCTGCGGCGTTAAACAACAAACAAACAAACAAACATATTAATATTGTTAATCTGCCAGTAACTATAGTTAAGATTTTTGCTTCCTCAATACGTTATTGCATAACGTTCCCAATAAGTTTATACAAGATTGTAGGCACTATTTGGTACACTTGACGGTTCACATAAACATTATATTAATGCGCGGTGTCTGAAAATAATTCACTGAATTTGGAGACCCGTGAAGATCCGGGGTAGAATAGGTCTTCAGCAACCCATGCTTACCGTAAAAGGCGACTATGCTTGTCGTAAGAGGCGACTAACGGAATCGGGTGGTCAGGCTCGCTAACTTGGTTGATGCATGTCATCGTATCCCAATTGCGTGGATGAGGCTCATGATGTCAATCACCGGATTTTCTGGTCCAGACTCGATTATTTACAGACCGCCATCATATAGCTGGAATATTGTCGAGTGCGGCGTTAAACAATAAACAAAGCAATTTTAACATCTATTATTTTAAGAATGACATAAGATGGTAATGAAACATGCATTTCTGTGCAAATCTCATATAAAATTCAGTCATACTAGCCAGTGATATGTCCGACAGCCCTTTCAACACACTTTCTGGGATTACAGTTATTTTCAGCTCTAGAAATCGATTTTACCAAAACATTTGAGAAACGTAGGGCAATATTTTTAAACCACGAAAGCCGTCAGATCGAAACAGATATTGGGTCGGTACACGTCCGATACCAGTTGCCAAGCAATCATGACAACTGGGGGCAGGCTCAGTCGATGGATGTGTTTTGGCGAGTGATCTGTGCACATGGAGTGGATCTTGTTTCCGAGCACAACTCTAAAGCTTGTTCTCTCAACAAAGTTTGGCAGATAAATCAAACAAATTCTGAAGTGGTGCCTTTTGCTATTTAAGTATTTTGGGCATTAAATTCGACTTTGTCTCGAGACGGAGTGAATGTTGTTTTCAATGCAAAGCTCGAAAATCATGAAATATCCTTTAACAAGATGCCAGGTTTGTCAATCATGCCCTGAAGTGATGCCTTTATTTAGAAAATGTAAGGACGAGTTTCCTCATGTTTCCATGGAGACAAATTTTGTGTTCGACTTGGTTGGCCCATTGGGTTTGTTGTTTAACGCCGCACTCAGTAATATTCCAGCTATATGACGGCGGTCTGCAAATAATCGAGTCTGGACCAGACAATCCAGTGATTGACATCAAGAGCATCGATCCACGCAATTGGAATATGAAGACATGCATCAAACAAGTCAGCGAGCCTGACCACCCGATCCCGTTAGTCCCCTCTTACAACAAGCATAGTCGCCTTTTACGTGTCTTTTGAGAGAGGGCGGAGGGTAGCCTAGAGGTGAAAGCGCTCGCTTAAGTCGCCGTAGGTCTGGGTTCGATTTCTAAAAGT